TTTATATTACTTACCTATTTATCACGCAAGTGTAAAAGTCTTTAACAATAATTATTCCAGTCAGTTTTCAGTTTTCATTTCAATATATTACATTCAAGGCACATTATGCCTCAACTTTCCATATAATTTCAATTCTTTACAAAGGTCAAACATGTAGTTTAATAGTGGTTTAATTAATTAATTAATTAATTAATTAATTGATTGATTTAGAGCATGTTAGCTGTTTAACAACTTAAGGAAGGGACGCTGAACATGCAGCAATGAATCATAAAGGTAGCAAAATGTAAACAAAGTTGTATTTTGACTTCCATTAAAATACTTATTTACTGTAATTATACCGATTATACCATCTGGGCAAAAGAAGCAAACAAGATTATATATATGTCAAATGAGTAGTTTTTTTGTTGTTGTTTTTTTGGGGGGAATCTGAAAAAAAAAGTTTTTGAGAAATAAAAACTGACAGCATTTCTGAGACATAATGGACTTTGAAGTGAATATTCATTATTGTATGAGTAAGCGAGACTCTGCGTATCTTGTGTAACCTTGACTCTCAACCAAGGGATCATGGGTTCGAGTCCCACTCGGGTCACAACCATGCTTCTTCATATGACGTCGGTACTGGTTGGTTCCAACATGGGGAATCGAATGTGATTTATATAAGTTGCAAAAACTTGTACTGTCGCAATCGAGCTTTATCAAATATGTTTAAACTAAACCTTTACTGGAATATTGGACAATTTTGTAATAATTGTTGCAAAGACTTCTTTTTGAATTATGCAATACGCATGAATGCTAGATGAAAATGCAAATTAGTTCACGCATGCGTAAAGAAAGCGGATATTGGGTTACGATTGAAACGGATCTGAAAATTTTCTTTTATGATAATTAAGAAGTGGGGACGGTAATGTCGTCTAAAAGAAATTGAAATATTCGTGTTTTAAAATCGAACATGATTCATCTTGACACTTCTCACACTTGATTACATCTAAGTTTACTTACCTCTTTGGTGTAATTTGTACTGACAACAAAAAATATCAGATCCGATCCCCCATAACTTATATAATTTATGTTATTTTAAAATAGATAACGGTACTGCTTATTCGGACGAGCGTTGTCTCTTTTAATTAACACACATGAATATTGTGCGAAACAGAATGAAATATTACGGATTAAAATATCATTTTCCTATTTTAAGTTGTGTTTTAACCATTCGCTTCTAAGGAAAAAAATTAAACAATAAATTTTGAAGTACTCTGTAAAAGTGCCAAGTTTCTATCACACGTTCACAGCTATCTGTAACTCATAAACAATAGTAATCAATCCGGTAGCTCGTTCACTAGATATATGCTCATGTGAGAGTTAATATTTATTGCCTATTGTTTTTTTGAGGGGGGGGGGCAATGTAAATACAATAAAGCGATAAGATATACATTTTGATTCATAGACACTGTAAAATAAGACAGTGAATCAACAGTCATATATCATTCAATGCTGTGTATATATGGTAAATCATTTCGGCGGTTGGTGGGGGGGGGGGGGGGTGGCGGTGCCAATAATACAATAATATCGGATATCGTCCCTAAAGCTATAAAAGTGTATATAGAAATAAATAATGTATTATATTTGCCGCCGAATGCACCTTACGCTTCTTGAAGGCCCCTTATGGGTCGGGAAATGGTTTCATTTTCATTTCTAAAATAAAAAGCTTTTTATTTTCGGCGTACTTTTATTGTTTTTGAAAAGATACTCATTTTACCAATTACCTGAGCCAACTTTTTCGTCTGTATATATAGCATTTTGGCAAGTAATACAATTATAGAGAATAAGTATTTTGTATGAAAGTCAAAATACTACTTTGTTTACATTTTGTTAGTTTTGTGACAAATTATTTTACATTTAATGCCACTTATCAGATAACGGGCATGTACCAAGCTCCTGAATTAAATGTTATAAAAATAATGTTTGCCATTTCTAAGGAAGTAAAAATTTTATTCTTTTCTGAGACATACTGTGCCTTTAAGAAAGATTGATTGCAAATACGAGTATTTTGTTAGTTAAAAAGTTAAAAAAAATTGTGACGGGTTATATGGTCACATATAAATTAGTTGTTAGTTAATATAACCGGATCTGATTGGTGGGAGTTATATTGAAAAACAACCGGTCATACCCGGACATATATACATATATATATCATAATTATATATCTGTAAAATATCTGGGTAACAGTAAATACAATAGTACTGCAAAATCGTTTTTCTATGATTAAAATAAACATTAACAAACACGTGTATATAGAATTAAAAAAGTCACATTGTCCAGTAAAACTCGCCGTAACAAATTAACAAATGTGCATTATTATAAAAATGTATATGCATCTTTCTTTGCTTTTTTTTTGGATATAAATCTAGGGAAAAATCAGTTTAACTGGTAGAAAATAAATATATCAAGAATTTTAGCTTTTACATGAGATTTTAATAATTTCACACCAGCATTAATCATAAAGTACAAGTGCATTTTACCACTAAGTAATGTTAATAAATAATTAATAATTTTATAACCGGCATTGAATAAACGATGAATGAAAGAAATCGAACAACGACGTCACGAATCAGTCAACGAAATACTCAGTAAATCGAAGGGAGACTACTCCTATTCTGCTCATATCATGTATTGTAGCATTTACTTCCCTTGTTAAACTTACTCTTGTGAAGTAGGGGCGACAACTCATTTTCTTTTTATATAATAAATTGTTGCATTTACCTCCCTTTCTAAGGCTTTGAATAATTATAATTATCATGTTTATAATTGTGAATCTCTTTTGTCTAAGCTTTGACTTAGATATAATCAATATTTTTTTTTATCTTAACTAATTCACATGGATACATTGAACACCATTATCCTGTTTATGACTTCTTATAAGGCATTTTGCATGACGCCCGGGTTTTATTTCACCCTCTTGAAAGCACATTTGCCTGTTTTCTATTGAACAATCAAAATGAATTAAATGCTTAATGTAAATAAAAATCTGTTCGTGCCATTTTAGAGGCTTGGTTGAGGACTGGTTATCTTCTGTTCCGTCTCAGTGAATCTGTGGAAGCTGCTGACCTATAGTTTAATGGAAAAAAATGAAATAAAAAAAAAAAAAAAAAAAAAAAAAAAAGAATTGGTCACATTTAATGAAAACATATTATTTATGATAATAAAGAAATTATCCCAGAATTGTCAGATTTAGTTTTCGTATTACAATATAATTACATAACACTATTAAAGTTTGCTTCCGCATGCTGCTTTAAATGTTTGCATTGTCAGGAGCGCTATATCTGGCATGATTTTACAATCTTAGTTTGAACAGTGCAGTATAACTACTTATTACATGATTATGACTTTAAACGGGGGCAATATGGTTGTTATCTCTCTGATTACTAGTATATGGTGTACAATATCGAGGCCCTACCGGGCTATAACTAATTTAATCAAATAACGTGTAATCAAAAGCGCAGCTCCGGCAAAGTTTTATATCCTGCAGCACAAGGTTTTTATTGATTGTACAGAAATTTATCCCAGACATAATTTCAATATTGTTATATTTCTCGCTCTAGTCGTTTGGGTGTGGTTATATATTCCTTTGTTTTTTTATCATTCACTAATAAAAGAAACTGATTGCTGAAGATTGAATGCCGCTTACGCCGGTGCTAAAGGGCATTAGAGATATATATTACTTTTAATATCTGTTATAAACGGACTAATTTAATCCTGTAACATATCTGTCTTTGTTTTGGGCTCTTTTATTTTTTAAAAAAAAAAATTGCTAAAAGAAGGAAATTTGAGATATCACATGCAATTGGAAAATCCCGACTAAAGTTCTATGATAATTTTTGTGAAATTGTCCAAATTTGCCGAACATGGCCATCGCATTTTATTAATTAAGATTAATTAAGAATCCTGAACTGTTACTTCAGTTTAACTTAGCTTTGTAAGATATGACAGAGCCTCCCCCCACCCCCTCCCCTTCCAAACCACACTCCTGCTGGTTTATTAGACTTTTTACGATGCTTCACGTAATTATATCGTAACTACTTTATAGTAAATTGTATTATATTTGATACCCAATGTTAATGGATATCAAGCAACTTTTGATTTGAGATTAATGCACGCTTGTGTCTTACAACTTTAGAGTCTTTATTTGGGTGTACGTGTACTAGGAAAAGGAAACTATTGAATTTCATTACTAATTAAATGGGTGGATTTAACGTGACGACTCCGGAGAATCGACAAACAGACAAAATAGGGTCTGGTTTAATAGATTTTGAGCCGTCCGGAATGTCCAGGGTTAAAAAATTCTTCAGCGCAGTTATTGGATTGCTAGGATTTAGTTGTCTCGTGGCGGCCGTCGTAATGCTCGTCATTCTATTTATAGAAAATAAGGAAGAAAACTCTTTAAATACTGTGGGATTATCTGGTGCGCTTAACGCTCTAGGAATAGGTTTGTTAGATCCCTTTAATATTTTATTCCGGTGTACGATTTAAAAGAAATATGTATCTTATGTCTCAGTTAGTAAATCGCTGAAGTATTTTATTTTTACAGTTATTTTGCACATTATAAAATATAACCAATTAACTTAGAGCGTTTGAATCATGTGATCTTACAGTATAAATTATTACTGGATCCAATCTTATTTATTTACCCCCGTTTTTTATATTTTGCCTGGCCGAAATTTCCAAATGACATGTTTAAAATACTCCATCTAGCCTCGATTTCATTTTTATGTCTAAACATTCACAGGTACTCGAGTTAACAGAGTTGTCAACAATTTGGTTGGGTAAAATATTTCTTGTCCAAAAGAGGGTTTCCAGTTGTGTTCGAGTTCAATTGAACTCAAAATTGTACTCATAATGATAACCACATTTTATCTTTTATTTAGGATTTCAGGCAGATGTAATTATCAATTCATATTAGAAAATACTACAATTAAAATTCATTTAAACTTTCATTTTTACAGGTTCAGCATGCCCGAACCAGGGAACATCCGCTTCATGTCCGACAACGGCGACGCAGACGACAAAGGGATCAACCACTTCCGGTGCTGGTCAAACGACAACAGCAGCAGCTGCAACAACAACAACAGCGCCACCTACCGTTATCGATGTTCGGCTCCCTACGGCTCTCAACCCTTTGCTGTACACAGTTGAACTTCAGCCTCATATGTACACCATGAACTCGGACGAGTTCACTTTTAATGGGTCGGTCAGAATACTGTTCGAATGCGTTCAAAGTACAAACAACATTACCCTACATATAAATAAACTCAACCTAACAGGTAAGAGCATCTAATGTTTGTAACAAAATCTCAACGTATACATGTACACAAATTACGGTTCTAGAAAAAAAATCACGTATCACAATTAAAACACAACAACATAATATCATTTCAAACACAACAACAACAAAAACACACAATAAAAAACTAACAGCCAAAGTTTAAGAATACAAAACTAAGCTTCGTTCTTTCACAAAATTTCAATTCTTCTCTGAAAACATTTGACATTTAAATAATATTGTAATTAATTTCAGGAGAAATTAAAGTAACCCATGCAAATGCTGTTGAAGATGAATATCACTCTCATGAGTTTGATACGCAACGACAATTTCTGATAATCAAGACTAAAAACCAACTTATGGCGGGACAAAATTACACGGTTGATATAACAAGTTTTGTTGGACCATTGGTACCGGATTTGGCCGGATTATATCTCAGCTCATATACAAGAGGAAACGAAACTATGTATGTATTGATTTTTTTTCTCAAATGCACATATATTTTATGGAATGCACGTATTTGTTGTTTTTTTTAATGAAATGTACGAATTTGCTGAATGAATGTTTATTTTATGACATGCACGTTTTTGTTTTATGGAATGGACGTATATTTTAGGATATGTACGTACTTTTGTATTTGTTTTATAGAATACGCGTATTTGATTTATGGGATGGACGTATTTTGTATGGCATGTACGTATTTGTTTCAAGGAAAAATGTAATTTTACTTTAGTCTTTTAATTCGCTTATTATGTCGATTTAATTAATATAATAAGAAAATCAGCAAAACCCCTTTGGGATTTTTGTAGTAGGTTTACCCTTTTTTTTCGAAATCCTTACGATTTTTTACGGAAAGTCCGAAAAGTTGGGAATATATTAAATTAAATTTTTTTCTTTCGTTAATTGGACGACTCAAATCAGCCGACTGACCCAAAAGCGTTCCCGTGTCTGGATGAACCGGCCATAAAATCCGAGTTTGAGGTCACACTCGTGAGAAAGAAGCATATGACGTCAATATCAAATATGCCAATTGAAAGTAATTCAACTAGGTAAACGTGTATCTTGTCAAATGATACCAATTGCCAAAGTACAGTGGTTGGTAAACGTGTATTGTATGCCGCATAAAAATTGTGAATGCGTGTAAACGCGTTGCACCGGAATTACTGATTCACCATTATTTCCGGTTCCGGTTTATTTATTGTAAAGTCAAAAAATGAAAAAAGTTTGGCTACAAAATCTTCGAGACATGGGGACGTTTTTCTTGGCTTTTTTTTAGAAATAATTTAGATAAGTTTTGATCTTGTTTCAGCAAATGGTATATTACTCACGGAGACAGACGGACTTTCTGTCCCTTCAGTTAGTAGTTGTGTTAATCTAAAACTAAATGTTTGTATCTAAACTAATCAATTTATTCCATTGTTAACACTCTTACACTCTTTTTCTAATATCTGACACACTATCTGAAACAATGACAAACCGTCTCTCCTTCTTGTTGATCTAAGTAATACATGTACGAGTTTTTATCCTTTGATTTTCATTTAGAAATAGCTGCTCAAAATAGAGTACAAATATATTACATTATAGATCTTAATAACACCAAGATGTTGTTTTTTCCTCATAAATAAAACATTTCTTCTTCTTTTACTAAAAAGCTGTAACATAAAATTTTATAAGCACTCGAACAATGCACTTTTCCTCAATTTTAGTAGCATAACTTTTAAGCTTTAATAGTAAGTTATCCCTTTTAAGGCCCACATGCATCAGAAATGCTTTTTTTTATTTTTTAAAACTTTTTCTAAAAAAAAAATGTGTTCTTATAAATGCAAAAAAAAGTTTGCCCATTGTTTTTTTCGCAAAAAGACAGTAATTTTGTGAAAAGTATTTTGTATGGGAAATCAAAAAATACATTTTTTTACTTTTGGTATTTAAAAGGCAAAAATTTTACATTTATCCTTTTTTCAGTGCAAGCATCTAAAAATTTTTAAAAAATTTTTAAAATTCTTTGCCCTTTTTTAAAGAAATAAAAAAATTGTTTTGGGGGAAATGTCCTTTAATAAAAAAAGCCAAAATTAAAATTTTTTAACCAAAAAAATTTTTCTGTCCCATCGTTTGTTTTCCTTTTCCAAAAAAATTTTAAAAGCTATAGAAATAAAAAATCTTTTTTATTAAAACCAAAAAAAAAAAAAATTTTTCAGTCAAAAAATTAATCTCTAACATTTTTAAATAGATAATAAAATATTAAAGTTCCGACAAATGTGATAAAAACACCTATAATACTAATGTCATACACTATGTGCGTTTTTTTTACGTTTGAATTAAATTTTATTTAAACTTAAGGAAAGAAAAATATTGATGGTATGTTACGTTCAGCTTCTTTCCTCGAATAAGATAAAAATACATTCAAACATTCTATCGTGAATGTATCTCGTGCTGACGCGCGGTCGCTGTTACGCGTGTAAACATTGAACGTCATCGTAATAAATATGACTTATCCTTTTAAAAAAGGACGTCACCCGGGACATAAATATGTTACAGGGTGAAATACACGTATTAATGGTAGATGTACACCACGTTTGATTGATTTCAGATATCTACCCTACGACGTTTTTTGCCTCCTTTTTGACGCAAAGAAAAGCGCTTCCCATGTTTCAGATGAAGCCATGCCTTCTTAAAGAAACCAATTTTTGATGTAACCTGGTGGGTGAGAAAAACATAAAAAAATTAGCAATTTCTCAATACCCCCACAACATTTCACCTCTGAAAGAAGGTAAGGTAAAAAAATTACTTCCCAAATTTTTAGCTAGTCCACAGTTTGCTGAACAAACTGTTTACAGTTGATTTGATTTGCCTTACGGCCCAATTGTCCTGTATAAGCGAAGCAAAGGGGAACCACTGCGCAGGGGTTTGAGTTTTTGACTCAATGACCTCCCTTAGTGGGGCGGGAAATAAGGTCTCTGCTGTCAAAATAGTGCCAAATTGTGATACAAGCATGAAACTTTTCAGGAAATTTATCTGGTTAGACCATGTAGATTTCAAAAGTGAAGTGGCCCAAAAATATCTCTGCTCTCATTCAGAGATGGCCGCCCATTTTTCAAGATGGCCCGGCCATATAAATTGATGTACACAATAGATCATTCATTCCAATTGTTTGTACAGACCTGAAACTTACACCAAAGCATGCATATACCGTAGGGGTTTAGTTTCCCCCCCTTTTCAAAAATTTAAATTCTTAAGGGCAATTTCTAGAGCTTGCATATTTCTTCAGAATCCAAGATGTCCAATATGGCTGCCAATTTTAATGAAAACTGAAATATCTCTTTTGTAGTATAATTTTTTGCACACCCCGGTATGCGTATTTCCATATAAAATATAAAAATTGTGAAATATATTAGAAAAAAAATCAAATTTTAGGTTAACCCACATTGTTAGTCATGTTTTTAGTTTTTTGTACAAAAAAAAAAATCTTTTAAAAAAAATCAAAGAAAAAGTGCCATTTTTTTCATTTTTCTCTAACATGGTTTTTTCTAGGTCTATGTACAAAAAATTCCAAAAAGTTACATAGTTTCTTAAAGTGTATTGATATTCAATCAACACTATGTTTTATTGTATAATTGTAACAAAAAAAAACAAAATGTTGAAGGTTTTATACTTAATTAAAAAGTGGGTGGGGTAAATTTATCAGACAATTGTTTAGTACAAATAACGTTTAATGCAAATTTTCACTGTAAAAATATTTATTGTATTAAAGGTATTTTTGTTTTCCTTCAGGTCATTAGAGGGTGTACTAAAATATCAATAAATGCCAGATACAATCATATGTTATACATTCAGTTATTAAATGTGTTTGCATGATATAAGTTGTTTTCAATAGTTCATAATATAACTTGATAATTGTACAGAAAGAAGAGCTGATATTCATCAACGAACCATAGTTAGATATTAAAATCATGCCTGGACCTTTAGTGAAATGTTGTCTAATTTATGAATACAATTATTTCCTGCCCCACCAATTTAGTCTTTGTTAAAAAGCTTGTAACAGAATAATTCAAAGTTATCACATCATTGTAAAACCAAGTATAATTGAATAAGTAACCGTCCATTTCTAATAACCTATGTAGAAAATGATATTTTTCAAAAAGCAAACAAAAATTTAGGCGACTGATACATCATATTATCTAATGGACTAGGTGTGCTAAAATAGGTATCAATAAAACCCCCTGGCCCACATAAACAAACATAGCTTATACTTTGGAATATAAACTAAATGTATTCCTACTTTATTTTTCCGTTTTAAAACAAGAGAGCATTGTTGACCCTAGATCACGCGCCTAAGCGACCCACTGCTGGAAAAAAAGGTCTAATAATTCTTTTTATACTGAAGAATGCTAAAATCATATAAAAGAGTATCTTTTTTTTCACCAGTCCATGATTTAAGAAATCATTGTCCAATAACTTAGGCTCTCAGCGACTACAAGAAGGGACTGCATATAACTATATTCCAATAAGATCCATGTAAACTAAGTGATTTTGACCCTATGCCAATAGTTTATAATCTTTATTATAGCATCACAATGTTATGAAATATACAATTTTATTTTCTCTTCTCTGTGCACACAGTTTCGGAGAAGAATTTTAATATATAAGTCAATGTAAACTAAAGTGACGGGAAAGCCCATTTTGGAAACTCCAAGAACATGATTTAAAAAGGCCCTCACGCAGGAACACAGTTTTTAAAGAATTTGTTGAGGGAATCGCATTGAAGTTGTTTTTTGTTGTTGATGTTATTTTAAAAAAATCAAACAAACAAACAAAACTGTAAGCTTAGACTTAGTCAAAATATAACCTTTGCCAAGTAAAGAAGACCTCTTTAAAAAAGTACATAAAACACTTTTGTATCATTAAGTGTACATGCAATAAAAAAATCTTCTCAAAAATCAAAATGCATAGAGCACTGGTACTAAGCTGGCATGTAGCACCACCTTGGGTCTTTATTAACACATTTAATGAATCATGCTACATAGAGCCACCTGGGGTTCAGCAGACTTGTATAGGAAAACACACTTTAAAAACATCTAGTGTGAAACTTCATTGACCTGAAATAAGATATTTGGGATGTAGACTGATATAACATGCATAAAATTTGTATGACGCCACTGCAGTCTTAAAATGATTTTGCAATGGTATCACTTATTTACAAAAGACTACTGTAATAAATATGTTTTCTCTTAACCTACACTATCCGACGCATATACACTTTAATATGTATCATCATAATTATGTTATAATAATGATATATCATGGACAACATGGTTCCAAATTTACCAAACCACAAAAGGTCACTAAGTTTCATATGCCGACTCGTATATAGATATGGTTTATTAAAGTTCTCTCGTGCTGAAATAAAAAAAATGAAAGGCAGATATTTGAGCAGGGTTTCTTTAAAAAGCAACCGGAATTCAATCATGACACAAATCTTGTGTTTATGACATAATTGACACTCCCAAAATGATCTTGTTACCTTTTTTTTCCAACAATGATCTTAGGTGGGTTGATCCAGGGTCATCATTACCCTCTTATGAAAGAAAAAAATAAGATAATGATTACTTTAGGAAAATACTAGTACAGCTTATATTTGTATCTTAACTTTTCAAAAAGTTGCGTGAACGCATGTAACTTAGAGTGACGTAGACGCAGGCCACGCAATCCCATATCATTGATATATATGTTTTACATCACATACATTGTGTTGGCTTTTAAGCCAATTTTTTATATTTAAAAAATACAAAATGGGAGCGAGTCAAAAAATATGCTTTATAGACTACCTTTTATACCTTACATTCAAGTACATGTTTGCTATTTTAAGCCCACGTTTAGTTGATTTATTGTCTTCTTATATGTCTTTACGCTATTAACAATTTAATATATGATATCAAATATATTGAAACAAAGAATTATCATGCAACCAAATTTAATAACTGAATGCTATACACATGTTTGTATGTGCATTTCTTGCTCACCCCCAAATGGCCCGAAGGAAGACAAAAATACTTTCATCCAATAAAAAGTACTTTTTAAGTTGGAAACATTTGCATAAGGAATTCATAAGAAAAAGTAAAAAGGCAAAGAAATAGAATGAACTTAGCTATGTAGATTTTCTGTTGTTGTTTTTCTTTCACAATTTATCATAGTATATATACCCACTTTCACAAAATATAAAAACCTACAGATTTAATATGCTTTTTCTTACATTTTCTTTACAATAAACACATGATATTAATGGAATGTCAAATACAGTTTAAGATATAAAAGTAACTGTTTTAACTTTGAAAATTACATTTTTAGAAAATCAAATTTGAAAAATACTGAAAAAAATGGAATTTTTTCTTGATCTTTTTTTAAGATATTTTAGACAAAAACTTTTTAAATGTTTACTTTTATTGAGATTTACATATAATTTTGATTAATCTCTGATATGTTTAAACACTTTTTTTATCATAATAAACATAATTTGTGCAACAAATTATACTATAAAAATGATATAACAGTTTTGCACAAAATCGACGGCCATATTGGACGCCATCTTGGATTTGGAAGAAGTATGAAAGAGAAATTTTGTGAGATTAAATTTTTGAAAAGGAGAAATTATATGCATGCTTTTGGTGTGAGTTAAAGGTCTGCCTACAAAAAAAATGGAATTAATGAGCTAGAATGTACTCAAATTTATATGCGCGGCCATTTTGAAAATGGCGGCCATCTTTGAATGAGCAGAAGATATTTTTGGGCCCACTTCACTTTTTTGAAATCTACATGGTCTAAAGATGATTTCCTGAAAGTTTCATGCTTGTATCACCAATTTTTGCACTATTTTTCTCAATTTCCCGTCCCACTACCTTGATTTGTCATTTAAAAAATATAAACTCATGTCGAATCTGTGCTTGGCTAGGTAAGAGTAAAACAATACTGAGAACCAGTTTCATTTGTGACGTATAATGAAAAGCTACTTTATATCAGGTAAGCCATTGCTAGGGGAAAAAACATGGTTTGACCTATGATTTCAGTTGTTTTTTATTAGCCATTGATTTTCCCTGTTTCATATAGGATTGTATTTGGAATATTTATTTATGCCTGTTTTCATCGAAGTAAAAGACTTAGCACTTTAAAAAAAACGATATTCAATGGCATATTATATGGTCTGAAATACCGATCCTTTTCATCTTTCACTTGATATGTAATAAGGCTTGCACTATTTTGATGATACATTTATTTAAATGCAATGTACCTCGTTCATAGTATCACATTGAATACCTCCTTGGATAATTTCAATCAGCATGGTTCATGGCATAACCATGCCAGATTTGGGTCTTTTTACACATTTTATTTCATACACTCTTTATTCTGGTTTATGTAGGAATTTATAAGTTCATAAATACGCAAAATCGAATCATTTCGTGAAACCAACAACACTTTGCAATAAGTGTAAAGTTTCTAACTCAAGAAAACAACGACTTTACCTTTATGGGATTTTAACCCACTAGGTGACTACTTGGCCACGCCGCCACAATGGACGTGAATTTTTCTGACAAAATGAAAAAACTTTGTCTTGCTAACATTATTACGTAATAACATATATGTAATATCTTAGTGAACTAAAGCAGATGTATAGCCTGTTAAAGTGTACACACTATTGAAAGTGACCTTATTTTGTATTATAGGGGAGACGACTGGGTTGCTGATAAATTTCAAAGAACGCCAAAAATGTCCACATATCTTCTAGCGTTTATAATCTGTGATTTTGACTATATCGAGAACACGACCAAGAACGGCATCACGGTAAGACGTCTTCAAAAAATATTTTAATATAAGTTGTAAAGATTTTTGGCAGACTAACTTATGTCATTATCACTGTTGTACAGCGTACACCGGAAATAGCCCCTAAAACATCGAAAGCTAAAGTAAAATGGTGTACGTTGAGTAAATACTTCTCTAAAACCAGACATATTCTGCTTCACAAAATTGTTAAGTTTAGAAAACTCGATTGAGTGGAAAAATCGATTAAGTGATGATGGAGAATTAAGTTGATGAATTCGACTTGCACCTTTATACTTACGCTTTCCATGTTTATAGGGGCTATTTCTGGTGAACGCTGTACAACAGTGATTATTAATCAGTTGCTGTTAGAGAACGGGTTCATAAAGAGTTTTCTCCATTTACACAACGGACTGGCAAGCTTTTTGTTTTTGTTGTTGATTTAATTTATTTATTTATTTATCTTTTTTAATGCAATATTTCAATTTTCATGAGTAACTGCTGTTTTCTCGTTAGGGCACACGTGTAGCGCCGATATATGTCCAAACGTCGAAAAATGTCCAAACGACGATAAATGTCCAAAAATTGACGATAAATGTCTCAATCGCCGATAAATGTCCAAAACTCCTTTAACGATAAATGTCCGAAAATTAACGAGGAAAAAAAAAAAAACAGTGAACAAACAAAAAAAAAAAAAAAAAAAAAAAAAGAAGAAAAAAAAACAAAAAAAAAAAAAAAAAAAAAAAAAAAAATGTACTCACATTCTTTCACAATTCGCAAACAAATTAGGTGCTCATAAATGTCCAAAAATCGGGGTTAACGATAAATGTCTAACTTTTCATATGTTAATTTGTAATTTATTGTATTGGATACAACTGTAAACAGTCTATCCAACTAACCCGTGATTTTACCCTCTGGTTTTTTACCCCCGACGTAAAGTGTTCATCATACATTATTGTGCATGGCCAGTTGCAGATCCGGATGGGGCGCATGTGCCTTCTTAACTCACCGAAGCAATACGTTTTAGCATTGTTTGTTGTTCTTCCAATATTTTGTGCCCCATATAGCGTTCCATTGTCCGTCCGAGGTGTCTAAGTGTTCCGTCCCGAAAAGTTTTGTGAACGGTATTAATAGGGGCATGTGGACAGAGTTGCATATTCCTTTACTGTCCCAAAGTGGTCAAAAGTAAGAAAAATATGCAACTCTATCTGGCAAACAAAAAGCAGTTAACCTGTGTAAACCATGTGAGCTAATCAAAGACGTTAAAACTTGCTTTGACAGTTAAAATCTGACCTACTTGATTTCAACAGCGAACCCCAGTGCAGGACCCCTTGACAGGATCTTTTACGCCATTTGCTTGTCGGGGGTATGGTTCGACAATGGTCGTTATAAGCATATTACGCAACACGTTTTAAATGGTTTTGTTGACTTTTCTCTTTAAGTGCTGCGAAGACCGGTCCTTTTCCATGCTACATTGATTAAAAGACATTTGTATTTGATTATTTACTCATTCTGTGCGTGGTGGACTGGAACGCCACTGCGAGGCCACCGCCTTTATAAATAACAGAGTTTTTGAAAGGCTATTACATGTATCCCTCCCAGTGTCGACCCAGATCAGTTTGCACGCAAATGCGTCACCAGATGAGGGTATTCGCTATTAAACACCAGTAATTGGTAGTTAAGGTTTTGTATGTCCATACAGTGTGGCACTATAAGATCAACCTACATGGTTATACATGAATATAATCTAATAATTATATAATCAAGTAAATGTTCAACTAAATAAGGGGAAGTAACTGCTATATATACATTTTACAGCTTCTGATTGGCCTATAAATATGTCGTTTGAAACAAATAATTATTTCGTGGGAACAAGATATTATCTCGTGGGAACAAGATAATTATTTCGTGGGGAACAAGTAATATCTCGTGGGAACAAAGATAATATATTGTGGGAACAAATAATATCTCGTGTGAACAAGATAAATAAAGGGACACCCATGTGTCACATCTGTGCCCCGTAATAGGACACTTGACGTAATAGTATGTTTTCTTGCTGTGCTGGTTGGATACCAAACATGTTACATTTATGAATTACTTATAATGTCAAATATTAAACTTAACAATATTAAATAAATAACACATGGCTGTCATTTTGCATTATGCTAACTGGTTACTAAAGCATTATCGTTTTATCAATACAGAGTTATGTAAGAGTTATGTCACCAGGGTGATATATGAAATATTCCCCGGAAATATATTCTAGGAGGGTGCTATTTCGATAAATACATTGTAGCCCTATGGGAGTTTTACATTGAAGGATATATTGAAGGTATAATAATATATAATTTAACACATGACTATCGGGGTGATAGAGGATATTTGTCAACACGAGAACTTGTATAATACACCGAGGCGCAGCCGAGGTCAAGGGTTGGCAATATCCTCTATCACCCCGACAGCCATGGTGTTTATTTATTATCATTATTACCGCAAAAAACCCTTTTAGGTCAGCAGTCTTTGCCTGAAGGGAAAATACAGATCATCACTTTACAATTATAGCGATTTTGATCTGTAAATGTTCGATATACACAAAAATAGTATATTGTATATAGATAAAAAACAAGAGACAGACAGACAGACAAAACAGACTAGGAAATAAATAATAATGAGTTATGTAAGAGTTTTGTGCTCCTAGGTGAATATAAGAAATATTACCCGGCGTTAATATATTCTAGGAGGGTGATATTCGATCAGAACACATTGTAGCCCTATGGGAGTTTTACATTGAAGGATATTATTGAGGTATAATAATATAATGTTTTAAATGACACCATCATATAGCAATTATATAATGTTGCTATTCGAATACTGTGTGTAATTTTTTTTTAATCTGTTGACAAAAAACTTTTAACATTTCTTCTCCATTCGACAAAACGTTATTTTTGAAATTATCACAATTTGTCAATGAATATTTTCATCTTTTAAACTGTTTTAACACATATATTAAAATGGTTTACACTTGGTTATGTCTTGGTTGCAACTTCGGTAATGTACTGATGTCATTTCTTACGGTCTTCTGTACCATATATCTGCAATTCTCGTACCAACAAAGGGCATCAGTACATAACCGAAGGTGCAACCAAGCATTGGCCCATCTAGATTCTCTTATAATATTGCGGGTTTCTAATATTAGGCCACTGAACCGACCAAAAATTCAGCAAAAGTCGTCTCACGCTTACAACATTTGGCACATCCTGCCATTATATCAGGTAAAATGTAAATTCTAGGTACGGTAAATGTTCACATAAACTGCACAACACTACTTAAGATGACATCTGCTTAAGACGTATCTCATTGCCGGATTTTCGTTTATACCAGTATCGCACTATCTTAACTTGTATAAGTAGTGGTAGATTTGTAAATATCCGTTAGTATATTATTTGTGAGTTATATATTATTTGTTAGGTATATTATTTTTCGGGGGGATAGTGCATGATACAGAAGACGCCCAGTTCCAGAGGCGACCCTGGTTCTTTTAAGTGCCCGGTGTAAAGCACCAGTACAATGCACCTTGGTTTAACTTATTTTTTCCCTTTTTAACAAAAAAAAAAAAAAAAAAAATAGTAAGATGGAGATAGACTGTATCCAACAATCAACTTTATTTTCAAATACATTTTTAAACTTTTTTAACAATCTCACAAGCATCCCGCTAGAGTCCCGGTGGTCGGTCGGGTGATCCAGGAACGACCGGGGTACGTCCGTAACTCTGTCAAGGCAACGTCCGGGATGATCAAGGGCTCTACCGGTGATTGTCCCGGCACTCTATCTGACCGTACCGGGGGCTCTGCAGGGATCATCGCGGGACTCTGCCGACATCATCCGGGGCTGTGCTAGCATGGATCTCTCAGCTTTTTATGATCTCTTTGATCGAAGACTTAACAGCGTTTGAATATCGTGTTATGGTCATCCGTCGTCCACTTACTATCTGCATTATCCGTAGTTTCAACTGGACTTTTGCATGGATGGCCCGGAGTTCATCCTGGTTGTTATTAGTATGGAAAATTGGGTATCGCCGTAGTGCTACCGGGGTTATTGAGACTGCAACAATATTTTCATCCCGGATCGTCTGGGGTGGTCCTGGGCTTTGCCGGGATGCTGGTGAGAACGCTACTTAAATCGGTACTTTTAATCCCTATGGAAACCTTTAATAACTGGCTGATGCATTACTGTTGATCATAGAAATAAGTGCAATTAACATATGAAAAGTTAAGACATTTATCGTTAACCGATTTGGACATTTATGTGCACCTAATTTGTTGCGACATTTTTCGTTAATTTTTGGACATTTATCGTTAAAGGAGTTTTGGACATTTATCGGCGATTGAGACATTTATCGTCAATTTTTGGACATCTATCGACGTTTGGACATTTTTCGACGTTTGGACATATATCGGCGCTACACACACGCTTTTTATTACTTGGGGACCAATCGCCGCTTTTCATGGAATGGCACAGAAGTGTCACTTTGAAGGTTTCATGATGACCGCCGTATGAACACATCTGCGGATGTTTCTATATTCAAAATTTTACTATTTCACGTTTAAATGTTGAATTCTGCTTAAGCCGGTGCTAGGCGTGGACGGTAGTATTGAACTTGACAGTACCGTCCATGAACAGGCTCAATGAAAACGAGCCTGCAATATTAAACAATTTTGTCGTTTTGGGCTTTCTTTAGGGATTCTTATTTTCTCTATTCTATTTATTAAAATGTGTCGTATAAATGTTGCATTTTAAGGTATTCATTCTTTCCCGCCAAAAAATTTCTAACATCGGTCAATATCTTAAAAATCGTTATTTCCGGAACGTTGTTTCTTTCACAATATTCGGTATTGAATATTTTATAACCGTATAATTGGAATTGAGTACATAGTGATAAAGGATGAGTCATTGTAAATAATCTCATGCCCAAGATTTAAAGAAAAAAAGTTCCGGAAATAACCGATTTGCTACGATCGGTGTTAGAATTTCTTTGGCGGGAAAGAATTTCAGTTAGACTACCTTAAAACGATTCACGTTGTTCTTTTATTTCAGTATCGTGCTTGGTCAAGACCAGAGGCCATAGATCAGGCTCCATATTCCCTTCAAGTTGGTGTTGACATTTTGACCTTCTTTGAAGAGTACTTCAACATTTCATATCCGCTTCCGAAACAAGGTAAAACACTACGGACTTAGCTCACTTCAGTCTCTAATCATGATCATAAAGTAGAAAACCGTCGCCTTATTTAACTTTTTTGGTTCATTATCGTATAAAAATCGGTATAAAGAGATGAATTACACATCTTAAAGTGCATTTCGGTGGGGAAAGGCGAATTTTAGCGCCTTGTCCGGTATATATACCGGAATACGGTATTTAGTGTCCCCAGACTTTATACACGTAACATATCTTCTATAATAAATTTTCATATTTTTTTTGCACGTGTTATCGACACTCTAAAACTATGTATAACACTGGTTATGGAAAGTGTAAAAATACGTTTAACTATGTTTTTGCATTGCATTTGTTGTGGAAATTCTTTAAAAGAACATGTTTAACTATGCTTGCTACTTGTTATGGAAACTCAAATGTTTTACACGTGTTAATGGAAACACTAATAAAACAAAAGCATGTCTCTATTTTTCGCCTTATTTTTGAAACTCTTAAGAAACTCAATTTTTTTTTGCATTCGTATTGAAACCCTAAAAAGTAGAAAGTTTTAATTGAGTTTTGTACGTGTTATGTAAATTCTACAATTGTCAAACAGTGAAATCTATGATGATGTTTTTTTAGATATGATAGCAATTCCTGATTTTGCTGCTGGTGCCATGGAGAACTGGGGTTTGATCACTTACCGGGAAACAGCCATGTTGTACGAGCCGGGTGTGTCGTCAGAAGGCAACAAGCAGCGAGTAGCCGTGGTCGTCTCTCACGAGCTAGCTCATCAGGTTCGAGTCTTTGCATTGAACATATTTGAGCCGCGCCGTGACAAAACCAACATAATGCGTTTGCGACCAGCATGGATCAAGACCAGCCTTATCCGCGAAGTCTGATCAGGATCCATGCTGTTCGCTATCAGTTTCCCTACTTGTTATAGCGTTTGTAAGCGAACAGCATGGATCCTGATCAGACTGCGCGTGGATCCATGCTGGTCGCAAACGCATTATGTTGGTTTTATCATGGCGAGGCTCATTTTTTTCTCAAATAGTCCGTTCTTTTTTGCCACATCCATTCAAAACTAATCCGATGGACTCAGTGTCTTGTATCCTAGATTCTATAAGTAATATTACGTCAATATGCCGCTAATAATAAATGATTTTTGTAAGCGTGCCGTGACTTCAAATAATCTTGTGATGATAGTTGAGCATTTGCCTAAATTTTCAACCTGTCCAGTTGTACACTTTGGAGAATAATGATCGACAAGAAAGTTTTTTTTTTTCATTTTATTATTTTACAACAACATATATTTTCATGATGTGACTTTGTGTACTCCATGTTTTTGCTCCTTAAAATGCAAGTAACACTTTGTGCATATTATATTATTTGGGGATACTAACGAGTATCGATTTCAAAATTGGATCTTCATGTCGATTAACAGTTGTGTTAATTTTTACTCGAGACGTTTGGTCTATTACTCGATTAATCGGTCACTCGTTGCTTTCACTTAATATTATTGTATCAACACTGTAAAACTTTATTAGATTTAAAATTAGAAAGTAAAACTGATTATAATTTATAACTGTTTTAGAATTCATTTTGTTTTTAATAACTATATATTTTTCTAAAAGGCACATTATGCCTCAGACACAAATCGATTTTTAGTTATTGAGAACGGGTAAACGTGATTTTTTTAATCTTAAAAATAATGGTTTTAGAGAAATGTTAGATGCTTGTTACTTGAAAAAAAGAAGTGATAAATGTGAAATAATTTGTCATAATAGCAAAATGTAAAGAAAATAGTATTTTGACTTTCAAAAAAATACTACTTCATTAAACATTGTACTTTTAAAGTTTCGCCAGTCTGTTCCTTTTATATAATTGCTTGTTTTACGTAAGTATGAATTTTTTCCTTCACAGTGGTTCGGAAACTTGGTGACGCCATCTTGGTGGGACGACCTGTGGCTGAACGAAGGTTTCGCCAGTTACGTTGAGTACATGGGCGTTGATGAAGTGCACCCGGATTGGAAAATGGTATACAATCGGAATAAAACTTTGAAATATTTAATATTTCATACGATACCTTATAAAAATTTAATTTGTGATTTGAAATAGTATTAAATTAATTCACACTACAAACTTTTATTAAAGTATCTGTCAAGTATTTCGCAACACATATCATTTGAAAACGAACATACACAAAAACACGCCTTTTCCGGTATTCGAACCCATAAAGGTTTAAAAGAAACTGAGTTGGTTTCATAGACATGTGACGCATTACTCACGAGACATGCCTTGTTGACTTCAGTTAAGGTGTGAAAGTTGTTCAACACTGTCAAAATCAGCGTTAAAATATTCAACGTGTTATTGTTCAAAACTGCATTATGTTTTATTTGTAGGAACCTTTGTTTAAGTTAATGTCTTACATTTTATTATTTTTAACGTAGGATTTAACTCAATACAGGATTGGAGCAGTACCTAAATCTTGATTACAAAATAGACAAATATCGTTTTTTTTTTTCGCCGAGTTTTAAAATTTTCATTCATTATCATGCATAAATCGGTGTGAAAAGAAGAATAATACCTGTAAAGTTCATTCCGTTGGGTAAAAAGGCAAGATTTTAGCATTTCATGATTCAAGCGCCTTGCCCGGTATATACCGGAATACGGTATTTAGTGTGGTGCTCCAATCTTTTTTTTAGTCTCACTCTATACAAATGTCTCTAACAATTCTTCATGAAAACTGATGAAAAGTTATCGCAGGATATCATTTTTATGTTATATATATAAAAAGAATTTGACAATTTACATAAATCAACTGTTTATATTTATGTTTTTATATTTTGTCAATGTGACCGTGCAAATGGCCGCCTCTTTTGGCAAGGGAGGTAAATATTGTAAACATAGGGAACTATAGGGTTTATGATTTTCCCTAAAGTCATGAAAATAAGACGGACAAGTTGTTATTAGATATTAAGCGTGGAAGGAATAACAATTTACTATAGAGATGTCATGTAATGAATTTCAAATGTTGATACAGTTTGAACAGTTTGTGGTGGAAGATCTACAGGATGTGTTCAACTTTGATGGACTGATTTCGTCACATCCGGTTTACGTTCCCGTGGCACATCCGGACGAAATCAATGAAATTTTTGACAGAATTTCATATGCAAAAGTAAACCAATCCGTCGTAGCACTTGCACGTTACTCCTTGCTCCTCGTGCTATTTATATACACTACATGTATATACATTATTTGCTTTACCTTTGTAATCCCATGGTTTTATATTAACCGGAAAGCTTTTGTTCTTATGTTATACAGATTAACCTCTGCAGAGCGATCCTCTAGTGTGCAATTTCCTCTTTACAACAACAGTATCAATTTCCAATAACTTAACTTTTCACAATAAATTTTCAAAATTTACCCCTCTATATAGCAAATCTCCAAAACAACCGAAATCTTCGTCTTCTAAGAGTGTTGCGTTGCAGGGGTTTCACTGTATTATTCTGACCCTTGGCATTCCTTCACATTGTTGCTTCAGCTGAACTATCAATATTGTGAGGTATAGACTTGCATTTCCAGCTAAGAAATTCTAAAAGTACTATAACATGTCTTTAGCATATTCCAGCGCCATTGTGGCCGTATTATTGAGTATAAGTATGAAAGTAACATACTGTAAATGTATATTGAGCTCTAACAATATTCGAATATTGTAAGGAGATTTTTTTTTATAAAACGTCAACAATGTACCTTTGGAAATCACTCGGGGAATCGCCAAGTTCGAAAATTATGTTACCTTTATCGTTCATAATCGTCTTAAGATGCACGCCAAGGGCGGGTTTAAGGATCTGGCCGTCTTTATTGCACAAACTACTTTAGTTTCACCGTATCCGGTGGCAGGGATGTGGTCTTACCCACAATATTGATGGTATCACCAGCTTCATGTATCCATTTTGTTGTTTTACAGAGTTCCCAGCACCATTTACTGATACCGTGATGTAAAAAAATGAATCACGTGCATCGCGTGACTGGTGGCTAAACCCCGCCTTCGTTCTGCTTGTATATTTTATCATATACACATCATAAATATATCTTTTCATAGTTTGATCAATTTGTCGTCGAGATGGTGCAGTATGTCTTTAATTATGACGGGCTTACATCATCACATCCTTTATACGTGCCCGTATCACACCCAGAAGAAATAAGTGAAATCTTTGATAGTATTTCATACTCAAAGGTTTGCATGACATAAGTATTTAATTTTATTTCATATTTAAATGTTTGCATCATTAAACATATTTGATAGCATTTTATATGCAAATGTTTGTATACTTATTTATATTTAACAAAAATCAAAGGTTTGCATAACTTACGTATTTTGAAATATTTTATATGCATATATTTGCATGATACATGAAAAATATAATTTATGTTTGATAAAGATTCAAAAGTTTGACTTAAGTACCTTTTATAGCATTTTATATGCAAATGCGTGCATACTTATTCATATTTGATAAAACTTCAAAAGGTTGAATGACTTATTTTTTTATAGCATTTTATATGCAAAGTTTGGCATATTTATTCACATTTGCTAATAATGCTGATGAACGTATTTGACAGCGTTTTATATGCATATATTTGTATGCTTATTCACATTTGATAAAAATTTAGTTTTTTATGACTTAAGTATTTGACTGTGTTTTGTTTTGTGCTGGTGGCCTATGAAGCAATAAAGATATTGTATTGTATTGTATTGTATATTGTATTGTATTGTATTGTATTGTATTGATGTAATAAAACGTTACTTTACAAATTAATCCTTTCATATGTCAAATGTTGTTTTTAGCTCGACTATGCGAAGTATATGGAAAGCTGTCCTACTCGCCCCGGCGGCGGCGTCGGCGTCCGCGTCCGCGTCCAGATTTTAGATTAAAGTTTTGGTGCAGTAAAATATTTTTCACTATAACTTTGTCATTTCTTAAGGTATCAACTTCAAACTTCAAATATATGTTCCTTATCATCAACCACATCATATGTGACAAGGTTCATAACTCTAGCACCAATATTTTCAGATTTATCTCCCCTTGAACTTAGAATTTTCCTTAAAAAATACTATTTTTTACTGTTACTTCCTTATTTCTTAAGGGATCAACCTCATACTTCAAATATATGTCACCTTATCATCATCCCCATCTTATGTGACAAGGTTCATAACTCTAGCACCAATATTTTCAGATTTATCTCCCTTTGAACTTAGAATTTTCCATAAAAAATATTTTTTTACTGTTATTTATTTATTTCTAAAGGGATCAACTTCATACTTCAAATATGTTTACGTTATCATCATCCACATCTTATGTGACAAGGTTCATAACTCTAGCACCAATATTGCAAGAATTATCTCCCCATAAACTTAGATTTTTTTACTAGAAAAATGTTATTTTTTATTATAACATTTTCATTTTTAAAGGTATCTACCTCAAATTTCAAATACTTATTCCTTATCAACAATTACATTTTATGTGACATTGTTGATAACTCTTGATGCAATATTTACAGATTTATCTCTCTTTGAACTTAGGATTTTCTTTAAGAAATATAATAACTTCTGTTCTTTTTAAGGTATCTACTTCAAACTTCAAATATATATTTCTTATCATTACACAAATGTTGTGTGACAAGGTCCATAACTCTAGCATGACTATTTCTAGAATTATTCCCCTTGATCTTGGAATTTATGTTAACAAATATTATTTTTTTACTATAACTTAATACATAATTATACATAATTGATTTTTCTTTCATAGTAATGTCCTCCTTACTGCGTCCAGTATTTTATTAGTCGAGCTTCGCTGTCTCCTGTGACAGCTCTTGTTTTTACTTTTTTAATAAATTCAATATTAAACAATTCAAAGACTTTATTACATATGTAATTTGATACATTTGATTACATTCTTTTAAATTTTTGAAAACAATTCTATTCACACATGTTTGTCTGATTTTATAGATATTTCTTAGCAAAGTTTTGCATTTCAAATTATATCTAAATTTTTACATAACTTAATGAGTAAAATAACCTCTCTTTTACTTCAAATATCACTTACTTGGGTGTTGTCTTACACTATCCAACCTTTCCACGGGACCTTTTAGCTTACTGCTTTAAAACAAAACAGTAAATTCTTTCTTTTAAATATTGTAGTAAATAGTAGTATTTCTATTTCATTAATTATGTCAGGCTTTCTCTTTTTGTCGTTTAAGTTAATTGTATATGCGAACTTAGCCCTTTCTCCTTTATGTTTAACTTGTTTGGTCAGCTAGCCTTGCATGCACAGTCACACCTGTTTTAAAGATCACCTATAAAGAAAGACCACTCTGCAAATAAGGCCATCCTTTAAAGACCTTACCTGGATTACACAGTAACCTCTAAATAAAGGCCCATTGTTTATAACGGCCAAATTTGGTCTCTCATTTCGTGTGGCCTTTCTTCTCAGGGTTGACTGTATAAATACATTTTATAAGATATGTAATTCGTATTTTTTTTATTGTACTATGACTTCTTCTATATTGCGACTTGCTTCAGGTCTGCGTGTGTGCAGCTTTAAAACTCTTACAATTCAAATGATTCGTTCAGAATAATAATGAAATTATCTTTTATCAATATTTAAAGCATTTTATAAAAGAATAAAGGGGACAAACAGAACAAACTGAACTTCATAATATTAGGAAGTTGATTGTTTAAACTTATCAAGATTTTAGAATCTTAAATAATCTTACATCTTACGTACATATAAAATGACATTACCCTTTTATCTTATTGCACAATAAAGGTTTAATTACTTACAATTCAAGTTCATGTTTTTTTTATTTAATTCATTTTATTATTTTTTTATTCATATCATTATATTTATTTCATGATATTATATTACAGGGAGCTTCCATTATACGTATGATGAGATTTTTCCTAGGGGACAGCACTTTTCAAAAGGGACTAACGGTAAGTTTAGACAAATTCATTTAATTTTCCGTTATTCATTATACATCATGTAATATTTTCGTTACTTTGCCGTCATACTGTATACTTAAATGACGTCATATTTGAAATCATAATGCCGTCTAGACGTTCCTTCCGCCCCGTTAAGTAGAACATTATGTATTTATAATTTGTTAGTGTTTATTAGTAAGCATTTACTAAATCAAATTTAATATGTACATGCTTATTAATAAACACTAACACATTTAATGTTGGAAATTAGTATAGGTAAGTGAATAAAAGTATAACATTTACACAAATTAAATAGGTCAAGAACGGCGCCAAAAAAAAAAATAAAAATAAAAATCAAACACTTATTTTTATAAACAGTAGATTTACTAGACTTATTCCCTGCAGTCTGGAGACCGCAGGGTATTGGTACGCGTTTAACTTTTGAGGCATGGAGGAGCACGTGACCTGTTTTCGGTACATGGAGGAGCATGTGATCTGTAAACCATACACGATTGGTTAATTGACATTTTCGAAAACCTGGCTAAATACCGTTTGTCGGTACGTTACGGAATTACCTCTAGTTGAATTAGTCAGAATTTTACCTAATTAAGAACAAAACACTATTACGTGATATTTCTAATTTTCTATAATTATTTTACCGTTTAAGGTGGAAAAACTTGAATGATGTATTTGAAAATTATCATTGTTTCTATAATATATGTATCTCAAACTTTAAAAACAATAAATTGTTTATACTGAAAATCTACAAAATTAAAATATTCGTTGTGGTATCTGCCATAATAAATAGAGATATTTTCTGCGTAAACTTGTGTGTTTACTTTATTTATTTTTTTTTGTTTGGAATTATTCATAAAATGGTAGGCCTATGTAATCATTTTCTTCAAAAGAAATAATTGTTTTATGTTCGACCTTCTCCGGTCATCAACGGTCATCAGTTTCCAAAGACCTTCTTCTATATTGATCGATTATTGTCAACTATATTCCTGATACAAACGTTTTATTTATTCCCCTCTCCCAAAACGATGTTGAAAATAGTTAAATGAAATATCTTTATATCATTGAAAATGTTCCCCGCAGGAAACCATTTTACTTGTTAATTGTTTGACATTGTTTAAGCTATCTTGTATAGCTAAACCTATCCCTCTGTATTTTAGAGATACTTAAACAGTTTACGTTATGGCGCTGCTTTCCACGATGACCTTTGGTTTGCCCTCGGCAACGTAAGTATATTCTTGCACATCCCGTTTAAGATAAGTCGCGTGCGTTAAATGACGTAATTTCTGCCCGTTTATTATTTTTTAGAATGTCGTCATTTTGCCGTTAACAATGAAGATGTAGATGAGAAAAATGTGCTAAATGTTAGTTTTCGTTATTTTTTCCAAAATTGTTATTATTGCAATTTCCTAACCTCGGCAATGCTTCCTGCAAAACTTCTTCGGAAGCCGCCATCTTTTTATAACGTGACTGATCTTCTAATTCTGAGATTGCACTCGATCTGCTCAATATATTTACATTAGTAAAACGGACGATTCATTTCCAGATCTTCTATTTTTAGACACGAACGTCACTGACACGTTATAAATAGCTCTCGGGACACTGCTTTAAAGAAGGTTAAACAGTGATTTCATTTATTTTTTTCAAGATTAAATTACTGAAATACTTAGACTTAGTTTGAAATTAGGCAGAATTGTCTTTTCCATAGGAAAAAAAAAACAAACAAAAAAGCTGAAGGCCTCTATAACGCTACTAACGTAAGTTCTTCATCACCGGCACAGTTTTATATTTTACAGCAATCACTGATTGAAAATAGTTTGGTACATAATGTCAAGGAAGTCATGGACACATGGACCCTCCAGATGAATTATCCCGTTGTCAAGGTGACGTACAACAGTGCTGGACAAATCACCATTTCCCAGCATAGATATTTGCAGGACTACAACGCGACTGATCCGGGAAAATATACGTCACCCTTTGGGTAAGTCTTATAAAAGATTTGTTTTTATTAAATTGGTTACAAATTTGCAAGAACATATTTTGAAATGCATTTTTAATAGATAGAGGATATTCAAGTTTTTTCTATAAATACATGATTTATTTTCATCGAGTGGTATGAAAATAAATATTTCATGAGTGGCGGTAGCCACGAGTGAAATATGGTAATTTTCATGCCACAAGATGAAAATAAATCATGTATTTATAGAAAAAAACTTGAATTTTCTGCTTATTATGTACATTTTTCTCTTTTTTTGCGATAAAATTTGAAAAACTTTCCCTTAAATTTTGTGTACTGGTAGAATTTAAAAGAAAGTAGTCCGGCAAGACACCAGTGAAAATACGGAAAATATGTTTCACTGCAGTGAAAAATAAATTTTTACAGTGAAAATACGGAAAATGAAAATACGCATTTTATTTCACCAATATTTCTCAATATTTCATTTATAAGTATATAATAAAAGATAATATTTATGTACTGGTATGCACGTTTTAACGTCAAACCTAATTGAATGCACTTACATTTTTTAATAAAGGGAGAAAAATATTTGTAACTTTAGCTTAGAAACATTTATAGCGAGCTCGACGAGCTGGCCCGAAGGGCCTGCTCGCAAAGCGAGCTTTACGGTAACGCGAGTACCTGCTTAGTGATGGTTTTGAAAACTTTCGTCCAAAGTACCGAATTGGACACATCGCAACCTTTCGAATTTAAAGATAACGATAAAAACTGAGGAATTCTGACTGAAAACGGATGTGTAGACTTGTCACCCGCGCACGTCTATGGGAACCATAATTGGACAGGGAACCAGAATAACGGAAGCTGTGTATAAAAAATGAAAATCGAAGGCGCCATTTTGTTTGAAATCTGATAAATAAAAACAATTTTTTGTCGAATTTTGTTGTGAAAACTATCTAGAATGAAAGAAAATGGTCGAACTAAGAAAATGAATCCGAACACCAATATCTTTTATTCAGTCGTTAACGCTGTACAGACGTTTAAAGTATTATTTACGTGACGTCACAATGTAGCGCCAAACAGCACGTGCAAAACAAACAAATCAAGTACGCTACTTTAATGTCGCAAACGTTT